TGGGGCCTGGGCCAGCTGGGCGGCTCTGGGCCAGCCACGGGGCACAGCTGCTGAGCATGCCACTTCTGCTGCCCCACCTCAAAGCCATTCAGCCGCTTCTTTCTTTTTCCAGGTGGAGTCATTTAGCAATTCATTTGTTCAATAAAGCATTTGAATTTTCAATATGTATCAGGCATGATACTAGGTATTGGGAAGACAAACAAGACTAACTCTTGAAATGTAGCCCAGATGAGAATTTATGGGGTGAAGGGCCATATAATAAGTAGGGCTCTGGAACCAAGACTGGGTTCTAATTCTAGTTTACTAGTTGCTACTGAGCTAAAGCAAGTTACATTACCTCTCTGAGCCTCAGTTTCCTGACTTGTATATAGGGAGGGTGGTACCTACTGCATAGTATTATGAGGATTAGATGGGATAATGCTTTTGAAACAGTTCCTCAGCACCTGGCCCCTAGTAAGTGCTCAATAAACTACTAGTGTTACTAAAAGGGCCTAACCTAATGCAGAAGCAGTAGGAATCTGTCTTCTTGTTCATGCCCAATGAATTTCCCTTACCTTCCTCTCCTCTTTTCTATGTCTTATTATTTTCTATTTCTCAACTTGAGTGCAGAACCCTAATTCTCCTGCCAGCGTTCTCTGATGTGAGGCACCTGTGTCTACTTTGCAGGTCTGATGATCTCTGTTATACCAGGTTTACCTGAGCTACGGCCACTGGCAAATGAAGTAGACTAAGGATCTGGGCATAGTCTGTGACAGAATGAGAAATTGTAGAAGGCTGGTTTCTGGTGAGGGCTTTATGGTTCAAAAAGAGTTGAACTCACAGAGTCAGAATGATATTAAGATGCTCTAGCTAAGAGAGAGTGTATGTACTTCTAAGAGTGTGTGCACGCGTAAGAGAGAGACAGACAGAGAGGGAGAGAGAATGTTGACATTAATTTTTACTGTTTGGCTCGGCACCTGTGGCTCAGGTGGCTAAGGCGCCAGCCACATACACCTAAGGTGGCGGGTTCGAATCCAGTCAGGGCCGCCAAACAACAATGTTGGCTGCAACCAAAAAATAGCTGGGCGTTGTGGCAGGCGCCTGTGGTCCCAGCTACTTGGGAGGCGGAGGCAGGAGACTCGCTTGAGCCCAGGAGTTGGAGGTTGCTGTGAGCTGTGATGCCACAGCACTCTACCCAGGGGGACAGCTTGAGGCTCTGTCTCAAAAAAAAAAAATAAATTTTTTTTTACTGTTTGTACTTCTGTGTCTTATCTGGTTGTTGTGCTTATGAGGGACCCCCAACAATGTGTCTGTTTCATGGTCATACAGGTTTGAGTCTTTGGTGATCCGGGACTTGTGAAACAAATGGACCAACTTCACAGCCCACACAACTAGGTTCCCTAACAGTGTTGGCTTGAGTGCTCTGGAAGGCACTTTTAATTTACTTCCACAGATTTGTCCCAAGTGTCTCCTCTGGGGCAGTCACTGGGCATTGGAGTACCTAGGAGCCACCAGAGAGTTCATGATCTCAAACAGAAGATGAGAAGATAAAAAACCAAAAAAAGCCAATTGTCCCATGAGCATAGTAGGGACTTGAAGGAGGATGGCCAACCAAACTGGGGTGCCACCGGCTCCTGCCTCTGCCTGTGTAGCCCAGATTTGATGTCCTTGTCCCTGGGATACCCCTGAGGGAAGAGATGGGACTGAGGGGAGAAGCCATTTGAATTTTATTCATTTCCTGAGGGGAGCTAGTTTTTAAAGTATTTTCAAACCCTAAATTGAGGTTGTAGCAAAGGCCTTTAGTGGGGAAAATTCTTTGAGTAGTCAGTTAGGGGGAGCCATAGAAGTAATGGTATGTGTTTTTTCCAGCTGCTTACTGAGAGCCTTTGATATCCTTAGTTAGCATGTGACCTAGCACAGGGAGCGATATGGAAGGTGTACGGGGGCTGATGCACATGGAACAGGCGATGGGGCACAGCATTATGTTTTGGGCTAAATCTCCATGGAGGTTAGAGAACTGAGGTGGTGAAACTGTTTGTGGTGCACAGATCCACCCTACTAGCTTCTTTTCAAAGCAATTTATGTGGTGAGTCTTGATGGAGGGGTCAGAGTGTAGGGGTAGCAAGTCCTATGTGTAGTAGCAGCATTTTGAGGAAATTCACAGAAGCTTGGCCTTTACTTTATTTTTACTTTCTATATGATAGGATTAATCATTTCTATCTTGTGAACTTGTGGGATGTAAAGCATACTTTCTGGGTTCTAGAGTAGTAAATTCCTTTCCTTCCCTTGCTCCATGTGTTTGTTGTACACTTTGAGGAGGTTGTACTTGGGCATACCCTTTTTAATCTTCTGACTTTTTTTTTTTTTTAGACAGTCTCATTATGTCACTCTTTGTAGAGTGCTGTGGTGTCACAGCTCACAGGAACCTCAAACTCTTGGGCTTAAGTGATTCTCTTGCCTCAGCCTCCCAAGTACCTGGGACTACAGGCTCCTGCCACAACACCTGGGTTTTTTGTTTGTTGGTTTGTTTGTTTTGGTTGTAGTTGTCATTGTTTGGCAGGCTCGGGCTGGGTTTGAACCCATCAGCTCCCATGTGTGTGGCTGGTGCCCTAGCCGCTGACCTACAGGCACGGAGCCTAATCTTTTGACTTTTAATGTGGCTTGTCTGTGGCTTGTAGCTCATTCTTCCTAATGATTGCAAGAATTGGGGAGTGGGGACAAGTATGGTCACAAGTGGTAGGGAATAGTTGTGAAAGTGGTGGCAGGAAGAGAAGAGGACAGAAGTCCCTGGGAAGGGTGTTTGCATCCCCCACCCCACCTGCTGGGAGGTCAGAGCTGTGGGAGTGGCAGGGATTAAAGTTCTGTGTTCCTTCCCTTTTTCTCTCTATTGACTTACCTTGACGCTAATTTAGGCCTGTGGCTAGTCAGAGGCCTGTTGTGGGCCTCCTTAAGAGATGTCTGTGTGTCTGTGCTGGCGCCCTTCACCTGGCCCCCACTTCTCTAAAGTCTGGAGAGTCCAATTGCCTGCTTGAATGATTTCCAAGTGGCTATTATGTTTCCAACCCAAGGTAATTGGCTTTACCAATTATTAATGGATTACTCTAAAGAGAAAAATGTTGAGGGAGGGAGGTGAGGGCAACACCTACTAACTTTGTAGTTTGGTTCTTCAGTGCCCAGTGGAGTGGCTGATTCCCAGGCTAGGAGTTACTTGGGGCATGGCAGGTGTGGTTGTTTTGGCTGCTGGCTCCTACTCTGTGGTTTAGTGGCTGCTGGCAATCCCACAGGTCCAGAGGAAGCTGGGATGGTGGAGCATGTCCCTGGAGGAAGTCTTACTTGAAGCATGGGGGACCCAGGATGTATCCTATGGTCTTTTTATCAGCCTGGGATTGAGAAGCAGACACCTGCCCTGCAATTTCGATTGTAAATCAGTGACTTGGTCAATGCCTGACCTAATATTTCCTCAATCAGCAATTGGCAGGCCAACACCTGACCTTTGGCCAGTGGTTCTCAACCTTCCTAATGCCGTGGCCCTTTGATACAGTTCCGGTGGGTTGTGACCCACAGGTTGAAAACCACTACCTTAGGCAAAGCCACTAGCTTCTCTGGAGCCTTCCCTGTAGAAATCTATTTCCCCACTGATACACTTGGGACCAGAGAGCCACCATACTGGGCAGGCCTAGGGTGGATGGCCTGTTGCTCCACATTGCTAACATGTCATGAATATGTCCAGTTCCTCCCCCGCTCCCCCATGCAAGACATTTAGGGACATGGTCTGTCCCTGCCCCAGGGCTCCTGAGTGACACAGTTGCTTTCAGTTCTCTTGCTTGCCCTTACATTTTCAAACTTGGGTTTCCTAAAGGCTTTCCCTTTCTATCCTGCCAAATCCTCTAACAAATGAGTGGTCTGGCTCATTGGTTCAAGTTCTAGTCCCACCACTGTGTCAACCTGGCCAGTTGTACTGACCCTTCACACCGGGCTTGTGCCTCCACTCACAATGAACCTGAGCAGATTATGTATGTTGAGGGTTTCAGGGCTCTAAGAGACATTCTGGGGAATGTGCTCAGCTTGCCCCTCATCTGCAGTGTTTCTCATTGTCCTTAGATGATTCTGTCTGACTCTCCTCTCACTCAACTGAAGCTGCGGCTGCCTGGCCTTCCCCATTCTTTACTCTTCCCACCCCCAATCACTAGCATACATACCCATTTAGAGTATTGACTCACTTTTCAGGTTTTCGTTTTCTCAGTTTGGTGCCTTTAGACCAGCCATGTACTAGTACCAGATTACGAGATATCCCCCACCCAGCTCTTTTTTTTTTTTTTTGAGACAGGGCCTCAAGCTGTCACCCTGGGTAGAACGCCGGGGCATCACAGCTCACAGCAACCTTCAACTCCTGGGCTTAAGTGATTCTCTTGCCTCAGCCTCCCAAGTAGCTAGGCCCCCAGGCGCCCGCCACAATGTCTGGCTATCTTTTGGTTATAGTTGTCATTGTTGTTTGGCAGGCCCGGGCTGGATTCGAACCTGCCAGCTCTGGTGTATGTGGCTGGTGCCTTAGCCGCTTGAACTGAGCCTATTCCCCTAGCTTTTAAAACCTTTAACAATCCGCCCTCTACCAGCTACCCTCACTTCTGACTAGGGCATCATCTTCCAGCCTCTAGCAGCCTGTCCCTGGAAGACCTTTTCTGTGTCTTTGCACTGTGCTCTCAGCTTCTCATTGAAGCCCAACAGGCTTGCTCTCCCTTGGGCTCAGACTTGTACATTTAGAGATCTGTTTTTATGGTGGGCAGAGACCACAACAGAGCTCAGCTATTGTTGAACTTGTGGGTTCTCTGGTGGGAGGCTACAGCCCTCACAGTGCTCCAAATTGTTTTCCCACAATTCTAATGGCTCTTGGCTGTTTCTCTCTGGCTTAACCCCACGATCCGCTGAAGAACAAGCAAGCATTTCTAATTGTAAAATGTAAGCCATTTCTACCACAAATTCTGACAAGCCAGATCTGACTCTGCTTTCCTTTTGTTTGGCAGCTCTTTTGTGACAGGGACAGCTTGTTGTGGGCACTTCTCACCCCTGAGAATCTGGGACCTCAACAGGTAAGAGATTCTTGAGACCACTATGGTTTCAGAGGGAGGAGGGAACTGGGACAGCAGGAAGCAAGAGAAGGAGCTACATGAGCCAAACCTGGCCGTGGGGGCCACATGATCCAGGGGGAGACCAGGAAGGACTATGCCCCAACTACCCACCAACAGCCTCCTCCTGATGCTGTCTCACATGGAATCATTTGGGGTCAGCTTGAGGAGACTATTAAAGTAATGTATAAGTAAATAGTTTCATGTAGAATTTATAACAATTTGGATTTATGCTACTCTCTGAGGAGTGGCTATGTGTCTACATAAAATCCCATCTATCCTCAGAGATGGTTTTTTTTTTTTTTTTGAGACAGAGCCTCAAGCTATCCCCCTGGGTAGAGTGCCATGGCATCACAGCTCACAGCAACCTCCAACTCCTGGGCTCAAGCGAGTCTCCTGCCTCCGCCTCCCAAGTAGCTGGGACTACAGGCCCCTGCCACAATGCCTGGCTATTTTTTGGTTGTAGCCGGCATTGTTGTTTGGCGGGCCCGGGCTGGATTAGAACCCGCCAGCTCAGGTGTATGTGGCTGGTGCCTTAGCCATTTGAGCCACAGGCACCGAGCCCTCAGAGATGATTTTACTAGAAGGAACTTTGAAGGTGGTCTGCAGAACAGTTAAAATACTAGGTTGTATTCACAGTTCTCTGTTTTGGGAGGCTTGCCGTATTCCCATCTGATTATCTGCTGTTCTGTTTTTATTTTTTAACTTTTTATTTTGAAATATTTGTAGATTTACTCGAACTGACAAATATAAGATGAAGAGGTACTCATGTAACATCTTACATAATATAGTATAATATTAAAACCAGGAGGTAGACATTGGTATAATCCACAAACCTTTATTCAGAACACACTCATTTGTGTGAGTTTGTGTGCATGTGTATCTAGTTCTGTGCAGTTTTATCACCTGTGCAAATTCAGGTAACCACTACCACAATCAAGTTCCATTGGCACAAAGATCCTTCTTACACCCCTTTGTAGTCTCACCCTCCTCCTGTGCTCTTATCCCTAATTCCTGGCAACCACTTACACGTTTTCCATCTCTGTGATTATTTTATTTTATTTTATTTTTTTACAGAGTCTCACTTTGTCACCCTCAGTAGAGTGCTGGGGCATCACAGCTCACAGCAACTTCAAACTCGTGGGCTTAAGTGATTCTCTTGCCTCAGCCTCCCAAGTAGCTGGGACTACAGGTGCCTGCCACAATGCCTAGCTATTTTTTTGTTGTAGTTATCATTGTTGTTTGGCAGGCCCTGGCTGGATTCGAACCTGCCAGCTCTGGTGTATGTGGCTGGTGCCCTAGCCACTGAGCTACAGGCACCAAGCCCTCTGTGATTTTTTTCATTTTTGAAAATGTTACATAATGGAATCATACAATATGTTACTTTTCAAGAATGGCTTTTAAAAAAACTCATCGTATTTCCCTTGAGACCCACAATAGTTATTGGCATATGTCAGTAGTTTGGTTTTTTTTAATTGTTGAAGAATATTCCATGGTACAGATGTACCAGAGTTCCTTTCTCCATTGAAAGACATTTGCTTTCAGTTTTTTTACTTTTGCTTATAAAACTGTTATGAACATTTGTGTATAGGTTTTTGTATGGGGATATACTTTCATTTCTCTGGAATAAATGCTAACAAGTACAGTTGCTGGTTTGTTTGGTAGGTGTGTATTTAATTTTTTACCTACCAAACTATTTTTCAGAGTATCTTTACCATTTTATATGCCCACCAGCAATATATGAGAGATAAAATTTCTTCGTATTCTCACCAGGATTTGGTATTGTCACTGTCTTTTATTTTAGCTGTTCTAATAGGTGTTACATCTCATTGCAGTTTGAATTTGAATTTCCCTCAATAGCTAATGATGTTGGACATATTTTCATGTGTTTATTTGCTATGTATTTCATGTATATCCTCTTTGGCAAAATGTCTGTTTATGTCTTTTGCCCATTGGAATGTTTTTTTTTCTTTAATGGAATGCTTTATGAATTTGTGTGTCATCCTTGCTCAAGGACCCCACTCATCTTCTCTGTACCCTTTCAATTTTGGTGTATGTGCTGCTGAGGGGAGCATTGTTTGCCTTTTTTTTAGCATTGAGTTTTGAGAGTTATTTGTATATTCTAGGTATTAGTCCTTTGTCACATATATATAGCTTGCTAATGTATCTATTCCATCTGTAGCTTGTCTTTTTTTTCCTTTTTTTGGAGACAGAGTCTTACTCTGTTACCCTGGGTAGAGTGCTGTGGCATCCTAGTTCACAGCAACCTCAAACTCCTGGGCTCAAGTGATCCTCATGCTGCGGCCTTCCAACTAGCTGGGACTATAGGCACCCACCACAATGCTCAGCATACTTTTCTATTTTTAGTAGAGATACAGTCTCGCTCTTGCTCAGATTGGTCTCAAACTTCTGAGCTCAAACAATCCACCTACCTCAGACTCCTAGAGTGCTAGGATTACAGATGTGATCAGATCCTGTAATTTTTTGAGACAGAGTCTCACTGTATTGCCCCAGGCTAGAGTGCCATGGCATTAACCTAGCTCACAGCAATTTCAAACTCCTAGGTTCAAGTGATCCTCCTGTCTTAGCCTCCCCAGTAGCTGGGACTATAGGTGCACACACCACTACCTCACTTGAAGCTGGGCCCAAGATGGCATACAACCTGAGGGGTGGTCTAGTTATACCACCATGGCCCAGCTTCATCTTGAAGGTTGGATAATGATGGAGTAGACTCTTCTGCCTGTGGCTGCCTTGATGAAGGGTACTCCTGGGTACCGGTTTATGGTCAGGATGGTGTTCTAAGGCATCGAGTCTTTGACTGTTATTCTCTTATGAAATCCCTAGACCTCCCTAACCCCAACTACTGGAACCAGAATTAACCCAAATGACAGCTATTGCCTTGATTCTTACTGGAGCCAGATAAGAAACAGCCACTGCATCCTCTGGCCAGCCTGTGGGCTCTATGCTTGTGGCAGGGCTACCTTGGGCATGACTTTGCATTGCTTTCTCTCTACTTTCAGGGTGCTGTCCTCAACACTGGGAAGAGTGAGGCCTTATTTAAACATCTATCTTATTCTCAGAGAAGCTTGGAGGACTGAGCCATGTGGCATTTGAGGACAGATACCCTGGTGGAAGGATCGATTTTTCATGGGAGGAAATGGATGGACAGGATGACTCTGTAGAGTGGTCTTGCCCAGGGAAGCCCACGCAGATAATAAAGCCATGTAGAAAATAGGATTAAGGTAATGAACAGGCAAGACAAGAGTTTGATCTTTCAATATCACCAAAGCCTGACTGACAGGCCAATCTGTAAGGTGGAGCAGCATTGCTGGCAGGACTCAGGGCTGGGCGGTGTGCACACTGGATGGATTCTTTGCTTTTAACCTGTCACAACTGAAACTTGAGGAGTGCCTGGATTTTCTCTTTTATGTGTGTGCTGTGACTTGGGTGGAGGGGGAGTACAGGAGGGGCAGTTTTCCCCTGAGCTTTGTCCCTCCAGGAACTGCCCTCAGGATGACAGTGGGGGCTGGGACACTCTCAGAGCTATAGCTGCCCCTCTTGGGTGCTATTGCTCCATGGGGGTGCCACTGCCCATGACTATCTGTATGTCACTCAGCTACCATCCTCAGGCAGTCTATACTGCTTCTCACAATGCATGGGGACCCCTTTCAGGGTCACTATGGCTTCCCTCAGCCCCTCATTCCATTAGGACCTCTAGAAACTCTATTCTTCCTATAGGGTAGGCTAGGGAAGGAATGGGGGTTGCTGGCTGGGGCACGCAGGTCAGAAGGCAGCTATGGGTACCTAGCTATTGCCTAAATGTCAAGGAACTTAGCAATCTCCCTCCTCTCTTTCTGCTTTTCTCTCTCCTGGAGCTGAGCACTGTGAGAATGGGCCCAAGGACAGGGGATGTCTAACCTCTCAACAAGAAAAATGGAATTTTTTAGCCAACCTCAAGGTTCCAGAGTGTTCCTGCTTCCAATAGTAGATGGTCTTTGAACCTATTCCCCAACTCTCAAGTACCAGGAACTTGTGTACTTCCACCCTTTTTAAAAATAAACTCATTTTTTTCAGGGTCTCACTGTATTGCTCAAGCTAGGCTTGAACTCCAGGGCTCAAATAATTCTCTTGTCTTGGCCTCCCAAGTAGCTGGGGCTACAGGCCTCTATCTTGACAGACCAACCTCTGAAGTATGACTAACTAGGCCCTAAGGCCCCGTCAGCCCCGAGGAACTGCCCAGGCCATCCTTCTCCTGGGCCTGGGGTCTGAAGGCATCAAGGTTCATCTTGTGTTTTCTGTCTGCATTTGAGCAGAACCCTTGGCTAGGCACATGGAAAGTTCCTAGTGTTGACTGTGTGGGGCACACCTCCACCAAGCCACTGGAAGTCCCATGTAGGTCTGACTGGCCTGACATCACAGCCTTATCCCCCAGGGCTTTCCTTGCTGTGAGTTTTACTTTTTCTGCTAAGGGGCATTGGAGTTGGACTAGTGTCCTGAGGAGGGGGAACAACTAGGCCCCCAGTGGACTTTAGGGACCTAGTTGTTGGAGAGGCTGTGATCCTAGACCTAAGGTGTCACAGTGGCTCTAGCCATAGCCTTAAGCTACCTTGTGTACTGTAAGGGGGGCGAGTTTGGAGACCAGTGGCCTCCTAGGGCATACAATCCTTGGCTAGGCACTGTGCTGCCCTGCACATGTATGACCATATATTTATGCCTCTGCATACATCCCCTTATCTCTCCTTCCCTTGTGGGCCAGGTCACCCCCAGTTCCCCATTATGCCTCAATTTCCATCTCATAGCTCCTAAGCTGCGTCTTTCTCAGCAAAGGGAGAGGCAGACTAGGCATCTCACCCATTCTGACAGGTGCCCTACATTTTCCCCACTCTGTGCCCTAGTTCAAGCCAAACCCATGCCTGGAATATCCCATCTGTGCCTAATGAAATCCTGCTTAATCTTCAGCATAA